AAGTTTAAAAATTTTATAACAGCATATTTCCATAATTTTTCTATTTTATTATTGATTTTCTTTTATAATTCAAAACTTTATTATAGGTATATGCAGGAAAAAACAGAGTCCCTGTAGAGTTTGGTACTATTTGTGCTTTCAGGCATCCCAGAACACCTTGGAAGGTGTCCTCCATCAATACTGGGGACAACTGCGTGGGAAACTCATGGCAGAAGAAGGCGAGTTAGCCACGTGTGCTGTGTAGACACCTCTGGTGCCCTCTCCAAGATGAAGAGGGTGGTCTCTAGTGACCGACCTTTGTCCATCTTAGGGAAGAGAGGAAGAAGGACAACTTTGAAAATGTTTGACCTACTTGAAGGCCAACGAGGAAGAGGAGGCCAGGGAGCATTCCTTACATCTACTTCTTAATGGCTTTCAGGTCAAAATCATCCTAGGCCCAAGTGACGTGTCTTAGGGTGGCATGTTCAGCAGGAGCTGACAGAATCACGATACAGGGTCACATGTGCTCTCCAGGGGGCTGAGGCTGCGGGTACCATGTAACTCCTTGTGACTGGCATTTGGATCCCCTATTGTGCCCGTGTTATCTGCCTGGGCTGCAGTAGCTCAAGGCCATCGGCTGGGTGGCTTACCCCACAGACATTGACTCTCTTGGTTCTGGAACTATTCTCTGGGACCGCCGCCCAGCAATGAACCATGTGAATCCGCAGCCTCAGAGGTTGGAGATGTGGCCAAAGGGCCTCGGAGAGGGGAGCGGGGATTTAACATGAGGCTCTGGATCACCTGTGTGCTCAGCAAGTGGGGACAGGAGTGTCCTGGGAGCGCAAGACAGACTCAGGCCTGCAGATCTAGAGAGGCAAGGGACRCAGAGGTCGCCAATTGTCTCAACTGCAGTCTGGCAGGAGTGGCCTGCAGGACAAGGAGGCCCGGTCACTGTCAGGATTGGAATGGGGAAACTGAGGCCTCAGACCGGGAGCAGCTGGGAGTGGACAGGTGTGCTGGGCAAAGGCAGWGCCTTTGAGGCCCTGGCTGAGACCCCTGCTCCCCAGCTTCTCAGCAGCATGTAACAACGGTCCCCCGATGAGCTGGAGGTGAAGATGCTGTGTTAGAAGGTTAAGGGTTAAGGATGTGCCCACCACGGCTGTCCCCTGGCAGCTGCCCCCTCACCCTCAGGATTGCTGAGTGGGCAGCGGGCCCAATTCCCGGGACCAACTGGCTGAGTCATRGCTGACTTCCCAGCCTGTCTGTTTCCTGGCACCCGGCAACAGTCCTTCAGGCAGAGACTGGTCAGCCCCATTGTGCAGATGGCCACTTCACCRGAAGGCCCCCTGGATTCCAGGCAACACCTAGAGTGGCCTAGGAGGCCCATGCCTCCCCGCCACCCCCCACAGATCTGGGCTTGCCCTTGGACCTGGCTTCCTCCTGTCTTTCCAAGTGACCCGGCTTTGAGTGAATTGATTACTGAGACTTGGCCTGAGCCTGCCACATGACATGGGGCAGGTGACCTGCTGTCTTGGTCTGTTCTGGGCTGTTACAACAAAATATCTGAGATTGGGTAATTTATAAAGAAAAGAGGTTTATTTTGGCTCATGGTTCTGAAGGCTGGGGAGCCTAAGAGCATGGTGCTGGTGATGGCCTGATGGTATCYCAGGTCAGACATCAAAGGTATAATTGGGGACATGTGGAGAAGAGAGGGGACAAAGTGGGCTGGACACTACCTAACAACAGGCTCTTGCAGTAACTCACTGTTCTCCAGGCACCTACGTTAATCCCTTCGTGACCCAAGTACCTCTTAACGTCCCCGTCACCTGTCCATACCGGTGTTCTAGTGTGGGATTTCAGCATGTGTCTTGGCAGGGGCCACCCACCGCCGAAGCCCAGCACCTGCCCTCCTGGCCATGGCTTCTCGTGTGCAGCACAGCGGCCCTTGGTCCAGGCTGCCCCGCCATGCCCACTCACTGCTTCTCTGTCCCTCGTGGGGCAGCGTGCTCACAGGAACGGAGAGTTCTGGGTGGCCACAGGCCCCACCACTCATCTCCCTTGGAGTGTCACTTGCCGGGGTGCCTGGCCCTCCTGCTGTGGACCTGGACAGGAAAAGGGAGGACCCTGCAGGGACCAGCCAAAGCCAAGGGTCTGAGGCCACTGAGCTGGTGGGAGGAGCAGCTCCCTGCACAGAAGGAGAAGAGGAGAGCGTGAGCCCTGCCTGTGGCCCACGAGGAGGAGGAGGCCGGGGGCGTTCCTGACACCACTTCCTAATGGCCTTCAGGTCAAAGTAATCCCAAAGTGGGCCCCAGTGGCGTGTCCGGGTGGCATATTCAGCAGGAGCTGACAGAATCATGACACAGGCCCCGAAGCTGGCCGCTGCTTCCCCATGGAGYGAGGGAACAGTGGCGTCAGGCCTGGCCCAGGGGCTGGGGCCGGGCCGCTGGGTTCCTCCCCCGCAGGTTGAGAGTGGGACCTGCAGCCTGGCTGCTTCCCACGCACACCGCACCCTTCTCAGGGGAGTGGGCACTTCGGGGCTTGGCAGAGGGGGCAGGCCTCCAGCTCTGTGTGCATGCCCGGCCTGTCTCTGTGGAGGGCTTCGCCTGTGCCTCCTCCCTCCCAGCAGCAGCCCACAGGCTGACACGTCCAAGGAGGGAGACTCCCAGGGAGGGGGGTTTCAGAGCTGCCGCCCACGCCGCTTCTGACCAAGCCAGTGTGGATCCCTGGGCTCGAGGCGCCCACGGAGCAGAGACAAGAGAAAGGCACTCCCAGTGGCTGTGTGCTAGCTTCGGATGCTCCTGCGTCACGTGAGGGACCTGGACCCTCGCCCATGTCAGGTGCCTCTAGGACTGAAGGGGGAGGGCGTGTTCYCTGCCTGGTGGTGCCAATCACCTCTCACCAGCAAGTGCAGGCCAAAGCCCAGTGCAGAGCTGGCCCTAACCTAGCTGTTTCACAAACYGGGCTCCCAGGAGCCTGCCCTGGGGAGGCAGCGGCATCTGCTGAGGCCCAGGTGGGCTCCAGAAGGCATAGGTCTGGTGGAGACCGCCAGGTTTCTCTGGAGTGTGGAGGGGCCTCAGGACCCAGTCGGCCCCCCACATCCAAGGCAGGGAGCACTGATGAGCTGGGATGGGGGGATTCCAGGATGGAGGCCAGAGGACTCGACCGCCTGGTTCTGTTCTGTCCCGCGGTCAACAGACGCATGCTCTGCATTTCCCTGAGCAGAGCAGGCGGCCCGGGCTGGAACCCTGGCTGGAGGTGGCCAGCCAGCGAGGCTGCCTATGTACCCCCAGCAGGCCAAAGAGCAGAGGGTCGATTGGCCCATGCCAGCCTCCAGCCCTGCCGTGCCGTGGAGGCCCTGGCCTCGGAAACAAGCCTGGGCACGTGGAGTACACAGAGTGGACACTGCAGACAGGGCGGAGGTACCAGCACAGCTGGAGCCCAGCCAAGCCCACCCCTCCAGGCTGCACCTGTGCCCAGGACCCAGGGTCTGCTGGTCTGTCACTGTGTAACCACCTGGTATCAGTGCCAGCCATGGGMCAGCTTCTGTGGGTGGAGAGCATGGCCACCGGGCAGCTGCACCCTGCAGCCAGGGTCCAGCCAGGGCTGTGGCCTCATCACAAAGGCTTGCCTGGAGAAAGATGCACTGCCGAGCCTACGTGGTTGTCACAGGACTCAGGATCTTGGTTTCTTGCTGGTTATCAGCCCGGGTGCCTCAGGACCTTGCCTGGGCCACTTGCTTCCTCAAACCAAGGGGAGAGAGGCTGCAGAAGATGCAGTTGCAACCTGTGTGTGTGTGTGTGTGTGTGTGTGTGTGGGTGTGTTACTGGACCCAGGGGTGCTCCACCACTAAGCCACACCCCTCCTTGGTTTTTATTTGAGGTAAGGTGTCCATATGTTGCCCAGGCTGGACTTGAACTTTTGATCCTCCTGTCTCAGCCTCCTGAATAGCTGGGATTACAGGTGTGCATGTGCCACYGGGGATGGCTGGATGCTGCAACCTTATGTGACAAAATCACAGAGGTGTCACCGTGACATTTGCTGTTTTCATCTGGTGGGAAAGGTTCTGCACACTCAAGGTGTGAGCACTGGGAGGCGGGGTCTGGGGCCACCTGGCAGGGCCTGGCACACCCTGCTTGGCACCCTTCTYCTCTTGCTCAGTCTGCTAACTGCTGAGGTCCATGTGGGCAAAGGGGCAGTGTTAGGGGGCCCCCTGGTCCTGCTGGCTGCGGTCACTGCTCTGGTGATTGTTCCTTTACAGGTCTGTCTCCCCGACAGATTGTGAGCTGCTTAGAGTTGGGGACTGTCCCAGCTCCGTGGTCCATGGCCTATCATAGCATTGGACATGCTATGATGTTAGGGGTAGGGTTAGGGGTAGGGTTAGGTTAGGGTTGTGGAATGAACCCAGAACCCAACAAACAGCTGGTGACAGGTCCTCAGGACAGCACTGGACTGCAAAGCCCGGATCTCCACTGAGAACTCTGACAGCGCTCTTGAGTGCGCCTGCCTTGCTCTCCAGGTGTGGGGAGGGCCGGGCAATGGCACCAACCCCAAGGCTGTCACGAGAAGGAGTGTATCGGCACTCGTCTTGGCCTGAGGCTGGTGTTTCTGACCTGGATGGTCCCCGAGTGGCCGGTGGTTCTTCATTACCCCTTTTCCCTGAGTTTCTGGTCCTACATCCCCTGAGCCCAACAGAGCAGAGGCCTGAGGGCCTGCACCTGTGTGCGGGGCAGGCTCCACGGAGGCGGCTGGGAAGGAGGCTGTGCAGGCCTGTGGCCCCGTTAGGCCTGCAGGCTKAGATAAAAGGGCAGTCAGCGCGTCACCAGGGCTTATCTGGTTATAGGAATTTCTTTAATAGATAATCTCATTGGAGGGGCCTGGGGGAGGAGGGCTCCTGGCCTGCGGCCTGCCCCTCCTCCTGCTCTGGGTGGACTCCGGTGCCCTCGGGGCCTGCGCTGAGCTGACTGGTTTCCCAGCAGAGCAAACAGTGGCCSTTGCGTGCTTTCTACCCTTGCCCTCCTACAGCCCGGGGGTAAAAGGTCGGTGCTAGTTGGTGGCTTTCCAGATGTATCATGCCTGGGCAGAAACTGGATTTCAAACCTCTCATTTCAAAGAACTTTAAAAGAGACACTGAATCTGGCCRCTGCAGACCGAGCAGGTCTGGCCAAATTGGCGAGTGTGCTGACCAGCCATGCCCACCGTGGACGATGTCTTAGAGCAGGTTGGGGAATTTGGCTGGTACCAGAAGCGAGTCTTCCTCACGCTATGCTTCACCTCGGCGGCCTTAGCCCCCATCTACCTGGGCATCGTCTTCTTGGGCTTCAGCCCCCCCCACCACTGCCGGAGCCCCGGGGTGTCTGAGCTGAGCCAGCGATGCGGCTGGAGCCCAGCGGAGGAGCTAAACTATACCGTGCCCGGCCTGGGGGCTGCGGACGAGGCCTTCCTCCGCCAGTGCATGCAGTATGAGGTGGACTGGAACCAGAGCACCCTCGGCTGCGTGGACCCCCTGGCCAGCCTGGCTGTCAACAGGAGCCACCTGCCACTTGTCCCCTGTCAGCATGGCTGGGTGTACGACACTCCTGGCTCCTCCATCGTCACTGAGGTAGGCCAAGGTTCTGTACTCAGGGTGATGTGGAGACTTCAGGGACAGGAGATGTRCAGCAAGTCTCGTCTGGCTCAGTTTCTCAACAGACAAGAGGGCAGGGTCCTGGTCCGTGTGCAGGTCGAGGTGTCGGGCTGGGTCCTGGCCTCCTGCATTCTTTGCCACAAACTCTGGGTGTAGGAGGAGGCTGGGCCTCTGGGAGGACAGCTCACAGACGCGCTGCATTGTTGGGGTTCACGGGGAGTCTGAGGGCTGCTCTACTCCTGCCCCCTGGCTTTTCCCAGAGCCGACAACTTCACGTCTGTGCTTCCCCATGGTTGGTGTTATGAAACTCCCCCCACCCCAAGTGGTGACCTAAATGACGGCCACTGAGGTGGTGTGGAGTCGCCTTGACTTTGGTTGATCCCAGACGTGCTCCTTACTAGCTGAGCATCACTGGGTAAGTTACTCAGCCTCTCTGAGTCTTCATCATTGAACTGGGATCATAAGACCTTGCCACACAGTGTTCTGGGATTCAGCTGACAACCGTGATTAAGGCATTATGCTGTGTGCTCCTGCTTGTGTCCTGTGGGGCAGGGCAGTGGTGTCCAAGGGGCCTGGCTTGGATGATTTAATTGGTCCTTTGAGCATTTTGCTTGGAGAATTTTTTAGTAAAAAGTGACAYGATATTTTCTCCCTTTATGGACCTTCTGTGGGCACTTGGTCAACTGGAGAAGCCATAGGCCTAGACCCATTCAGAGGCTGTTAGCCATGGCTTGGCTTTGGTGAGGACATCATACACCCAGAACAGGAGGACACCCTCCCACGCCCGCCCCCACTGTCCATCGCCCCTCCAGCCTGCTCAGGGCTTCTCAGTCTCCTTCCTTCCACCCCTTTCCTCGATGCCAACATGTTTCGGGCTCTTCCTGGTGGAAAGGCCAGTGCCCCTCCCCTGACCTGGTCAACACTCAGCCTGCTCACCTGGGGAGAGCAGGTGCTGGGGCAACTGGTCCATGCTGTTGAGTGGACACCGTCCCCAAGGCACCCTCCAGTGGTGGCCAAGTTGCCTGGGTCACCTGCCAGGGGTGCTCCACCCTGTGGGCCCAGGCCRGGACCTGCTGTTCTCTGGGCCAAGACGCACTGTGCAGGAAAGGACTCCGCGCAGGCACTCGTCCGTCCGTCCATCTCCAGTGAACATGTTCTGAGCTCTCCCTCTGTCCTAGCACTGGGGGTGACCCTGCAAGGGGACAGGGGAGTTGCTGTGAAGTTCCCTCACAGCGTCTGCAGCCTCAGGGGGGGTGTGGCAGGASTGAGACGGTGTCCACTAGTGACAGCCTCAGTAGGGCCTGGGAGGTGCTCTGAGGAGGAGAGCGCTCAGGCCCGGAGCCTCAGGGTGAGTTGRCCAGCAAGGGGAGGCGGTGGGGGTGGGGAGGGTGGGGGGTAGGCAAGGGCAGTGAGTGAATCCCAGGCCCAGGGAACAGCGTGAGTCAAGTTCAAGAGTCAGCTAACTTGTGCCACCTCGGGGAGTTATGGAGTCCTCAGGGTTACCAGATAACATATAGGGTACCCTGTTAAATTTGAATTTCAAATAATAGAATTTTAAAAAATGTTTGAGTTGGGTTCTTGCTCTGCTGCCCAAACTGGTCTCAAAGTCCTGGATTCAAGTGATCCTCCTGCCTCAGGCGACTGAGGAGCTGGGGCTGCAGGCACGTGACACTGAACCTGGCTAGATAATGTCATTTTGTTGTTTAGGATAATGATATTTTGGATATTGCACAATATTTTATATTGATAACTGGGGTTGGGAATTCAGATGTTTCATGGAATGTATTTATGCTAAAAAGATGATTGCTTATCTGAAATTCAGATTTAACAGGGCACTCTGTATTTTTATTCGCTACATCTGGCAAACCCACCTTAAAGCTAAATGAAGGGGTTTGGTCTTATTTAGGCAAAGGAGCGAGACAACCCTAACTAGACCCAGTGAATGGGCTGGAAGCAGGTTGGTGGTGGGATCRGAGTCTTCTGAGATAGGGAGATGCAGGAAGAGGCCAAGAAAAGAGCCCAGATGAGAAATGTCAATCCACATGGTTGTCATGGCGATGAAATGCCACCGTGCCATCAGGGTATGGAAGTTGCTGTGGGTCAGGGAGAAGGAGGGGGCTGCGGGTTCTGGCCTGAGGGGAGCAGGCAAAGGGAGCCACTGAGCCCTGGGCTGAGGACCAGGAGCAGCAGCTCGGCCATGTGAAGAGGCGGTGAGCAGGCTGCAGAAACGGGGAGGAGGGGCCAGAGGCAGGAGGACAGAAGAGGTTCACAGAAGCGATGGGCTCTGTGTAGTGACGAGGGGGCTCCAAATGAGCCCCAAAGCCAGAGCTCTGGTGAGGACTTTGAGAGTCCTGGGACTGTGACCAGCAGGGACAGTGAGGGCGAGCCGCTGTCAGGAGGAGTGTCCACGGTGCTGGACTGAGTCTGCGGGTGCTGGGACTCGTGCAGAAGGAAGAGCAGCGTGGGGCAGGAGGCAGAGGAGACCGGCCTTAGCTCCCATTTTAATCCTCCCCGCAGCGGCTCTTGGCTGCCCTCCCCTCCCTCCCTATCCTGAACTGGAGACCATTCTTGAGGATTGACTGCAGTTATCCCTTTTGTAGAACTAATCTTTAACCGAGGGTTGCCTTGGACATTGGAACTGCTGGAGGAGGAAGATGAACGACCTTGTTTGAACACCAGGTTCAACTCCCTCTCCCAGGCTTGGGGCCTAGGCTCCTGGGGAAGGGATGGGATGTCCCTGGCTCTTGACTCCCCATCAGGAGGGTCTGCTCTGCCGGCCCTGGCTTCAGCCATAGCCCACACCAGCCCAGGCGGCCAYGGCTTCCCCCAGGCCTGAGCACAGAGTGAGAGGGCCATTCCCCAGCAGAGGAGGGGAGGGTGTCAGGCCGCTGCATCCCAAGGCTGCCCAGTCCTGCGGGGCYACCTGCATCCCCACTTGTGACCACGGAGAATAGGGGTTTTCACRGGGACCTGGGTGGTTCTTGGGGTGAGGCAATGGAGAACGATCCCTGTTGTTTCCTCTGCTGTGCTGGGAAGGGCCAGTGGATGGGCCTAGGACAGCTCCTCTGGCCCTCTTTTGTGCCCACCGGCCTCTCTGTGGGGCCAGGCCTGTGTCCCCAGGGTGCACACATGAGCCTGCGTGTGGTGGCACTAGGAACTGATCCCCACGGCTTGGCAGTGTCCACCCTGGCGGGCAGTGGGGTTGGAAGTGAGGCTGAAAGAGACCGGCTTGCTCCAGCCCCAGGGAGGGTCTGGCTGTGCATGAAGCCCGGGCAAGGTGGCCACCAGAGCCTGTCAGGAGGGGGACAGGGCAACTGACAGAGGCACAGACTTGCAAAGATGGAATGAAACCAAAGCAGCGGCCAGGAAGAGATGAGTGAGGCCAGGGGTCACAGTCCCACGTCCCTTTCCACCCCGTGACTTCAGTGCTGTAGAGTATCTCTACAGCATATCAAGAGTCCCTCTTGATATGGGGGACGTTGAAGCAGACCCTGGCAGTTGGAGCCACACCCTGGGACAGCCWGATAACCCAGGATGAGCTCTCCTCCTGTGTTCCAATGGCAGAACCCAAGGCGCAGGAAAACCTGTGGGTCCACGGCTGCAGAATGGCAGCCTGGGAGGGCCACCTGGGAGAGGCTCCACCGGCAGGTGTGCTTCCAGTCACATTTCAAAGGAAATGAACGTTGGGATTGGTGGAGAGAATGAGTGACACTGAGCTTGTCACTCCATGGGACAGGACRGCTGATGGCAAGGCTTATGTTTGTTCCTGAAAGTCCGCATAATGYAGAGTCTTCACTCCATTGCAGAAAACAACCGCCGGCTGAGTTCAGCCTGAGACTCTGAATGTCTGACGGCAACTTTGGACGTGTGGGGAGGGATGATAAAACACTTTAAAATCAGACAAAGCCCTTGAGCTCACAGGGTGAGGCAGGACAGGTCCACATGCCTGTTTCAGATGGGGACTGGGGCTCCAAGTCGCCAGGTGACTTACTGCCATCACGCTCCGCAGTGCTGCTTGTTCGATGGAGCCATGAATCGGAAGCAAGGAAAGACAGGGACAGGAGGGACAGGAGGGCAGGAAGCCCAGGAAGGGTGGCGGGAGGGGGAGGAAGCCCAGCTCCTGCCTCCCTGCCTCTGGTCTCCCTGGAGTCCACCCTTCTATGGCTCGTGTCACGTGGGGCCCTCTGAGTCTCCTCCTAGCTGTCAGATGTCACCCTATGAGACTACTGTGCTGGCCGCCCCTAGACGCCACACTGTCTCACCCCTGCCTCTGTCCCTCTCAGGTGCCACTCAGTTGTGACAGAATGTCCACTGTCCCTGGTGGAATTCATCCAATTAAACACATGGAGGATCCTCAACTAACTCTGGAAAACCTCTTATGTTTCTTCTGCTACACTTATTTTTGGGAAAGCACGAGGCTCTATTTTTTTCTAGAGAWCTGACCTGGCAGCCACATCTCCTCTGAGGTCCACCTGTTCTTGCTCCTTTTCCAAAGTCGTTTTGTCCTTTGACAGTCGACTATGAAGGACAAAGCACAGGACCACAGCTGCTTTAGCGCATGTCACTTGGAGGCTGTTAGAGGAGTGTGTGGATGCTCATTGTCTTGTGTCTTAGGAAACAGTGCAAGGGACAACCTGGAGCTCTCGGAGGGGCCTGGCCTTGTCTGGAGGGAGGGTGGAAGGTGTGGTTCTGGCTCACGTGCCCTTCTATTCTGGGTCCCTGGGGCAGTTTGACCTGGTGTGTGCTGACGCCTGGAAGGTGGACCTCTTTCAGTCCTGCGTGAACCTGGGCTTCTTCCTCGGGTCCCTGGGCGTCGGCTATATCGCAGACAGGTGAGTGCAGGCTGGTCCTGTCGACTTCCCCACCGCGCCAAGAGAGGGTTGGGGCAGGGGTGGAGGACCTGGCCAGCTGGAGCCCATTGCAGAAGGTGGCAGAGATGGGACGTGGTGGCAGTTTCCAGCTGCTGTGAGGCTGTCTGGGGGAGGAAGGTGGAGCCATGTACAGGTCAGAGGTGGGGCAGGGGCCCAGGGAAAGGGGAGTGAGTCAGGCGTGTCACAGCCCGTGGGTGGACGGGTCACCTTGAGAAGAGGAATGCTGGCCAGGCACACTCCTGAGGCAGGGACCATGGCGAGGCAGGAGTTCCACCTGAGTGCAGAACTGGGAGCTGTGTGGGCGTGGCCTGCCAGGCCCAGGAGGGGGGTCCGTGGGCAGGTGGGGTGACTGGCCCAGGTCCTCAGCCTCCTCCCGCCTCTGTCTCTTCAGGTTTGGCCGTAAGCTGTGTCTCCTGGCGACCTCGCTGGTCATGGCCCTGTCCGGTGTGCTGACGGCCGTGTCCCCAGACTACACGTCCACGCTGCTCTTCCGCCTGCTGCAGGGGACGGTCAGCAAAGGCACCTGGATGTCTGGCTACACCCTGAGTAATCACCCAGGGCTGAGGTCTCCCTGGGCCCAGGGAGGGGGCGGTGGGTGGAAGGGGGCGGTGGGGGGGTGCGCTCAGAGGGAAGGGGAGTCTTCAGGGCAGAGAACCGTGGTGGTTAATTGTGTGTCCTGGGCCGGGGCAGGCGCGGGTCGGTGTGGCCTCCTTTTCTCCTCTGTGGCTGTGGCTGTGGGGGGCTGCAGGAAGCCCAGTGGGGTGGGGGGAGTGTTTTAAGTATGAAAGAGCCAGCAACTCCTTAAAAGAAATAGAACTCAGATGGCTTAGATGGCAGTCCAGAGCCGGGAGGAAAGGACAGAGGAGTTTTTAAAACCCCAGGAGTCAACCAGGCGAGCAGTCTGCACATGAGCTTTTCTTTATTCTACGAAGGGTCAGAACAGAAAACAGAACTCCCTCCTGGGGGAGAGCAAATAAAAGAGTCACCTGAGCCCAGGGATGGGTTCCAGCGGCCCAGGGAAGCCAAGCCACATTTCTGCTCTTTTAAGAAAAAAACAAAGAGCCAGACTGCTCCTCTAAGACTGGTGTCCTATGGCTTAGCTTTCCGAGGGCCGTCCACGAGGGCCGGGAGAATCCGTGTTCCTGCCTTGAGAACCACAAGCACTTGGTTACGTTTGGTGGTTCAGCTGACGTCCTGTGTGCTCCGYGGGCGCTGCTTGGTCATGGATAGAGGAGCAGCTGGGGTAAATCCATGCTCCAGCACCGAGCAGCTGTGTGATCTGGGGCAAGGGCCATGATCTCTCTGTGCCTCAGAAGCTTCAAGATGGGAATATGACGGTTCCCTCTTCCCTGGGGTTGCTGTAGGAGCYGGTGCTTTGCCCTGGGTGTAGGCTAGGCTCAGACCGATGCCCGCTATGCCGTCGCCTCTCCAGTGGTCCCTGGTGCTGCTGGGCAGGCAATGGTAGGGGCTGGGGTGCTGAGACACATTCCAACCTAGTATTTAGTATAAATATCCACCACGTGGGTTGCCTGCCACAKAACAGGAGACCTCTCGTGCCGCCGAGCCTCCTAACAGTGAGAACAGCCCCACCCCCCGTAGACACTCCGCAGTGCAAAGCTGATGGTCCCCGAGAATGTCCAGCTCAGCCTAGAGCTTCTAGGGGAAGACGTGGGAAGAGAGGCTGAGCCTGAAGCCCAGGAGAGAAACATGGAAGGAGGAGCCCGAGAAAGGGCGGTCGGAGGGCACAGGGCAACCCGGCCCCTGGGAGTCTGGGCTGGGCCAGCTGGTGGAGGTAGGCGGAGAAGCTGGGCAAGCAGCAAATGGAGGCCACACAGAGAGGAGCTGGGAGCAGGCTGGGCCAGGCTGGGGCTTGGGAGAAGAGGCCAGTGGGAATGGGCCTCTCAGAGCTGCCTCCCCCAGGGTCCAGTGGTGACTTTCTTTGTTTCAGTCACAGAGTGTGTCGGCTCAGGCTACAGAATGACAGTGGCGATCCTGTACCAGGTGGCCTTCACCGTGGGGCTGTTGGGGCTCTCTTGGCTGGCCTACGCCATTCCCCACTGGCGCTGGCTCCAGCTGGCCGTGTCCCTGCCCACCTTCTTCTTCCTGCTCTACTACTGGTAATGTGTCCCCCGCAAGTCTGCACAGCTTCCTGCTCTAAGTCCTGTCGCTCCGGGGCCAGGCTCGGTGGGACGGAGGGCCCCTCTGTCACACGGGCCACCTTCCAAGGGGCCATGGTGTCCCTATGGGTGAGGTGGAGCTGCTCCCGGAGACTGTGCCCTGGGCCATTTCTGCCCTCAGGCTCTCCTGATGTTGCCAGATGACCCTGATGGCATGGGGAGCTGTCCCCAGACAGAGCCAGTCCAAATCCACACCCCCCAGATAGACGGGAGCGATGCCACAGTCAGACTAAAGTCCAGGAGCACAGCGCTGCCTGCCCAGCCCGAGGCTTCCAATGAGCACCTTCCAGAAACACGAAGCCCAGCTGCCCGCACTGAGATGCCCTCGGTGGTCCCTGCTCATGGCTGGGTGAGGGGGCAGGTTTCCAGCTGTCGCTCCGCAGCCCGGAGGRATCTTGGAGATGATCTGCCTTCGGTGTCTAGTACAAGGAACAGGGTCATTTTACCACCAGGGCTCTGCCTCCTGCAGCCCTGTGAGGCTCCCGTGGAGCTCCCCCCGACCCCCCGTCTATAAGTAACACTGGCATTGACAAGGCTCTGACACCCCTCTAACCCAGCCACACAGTAGGTATTTGATCTTGGTTGAATCAATTATGAACCAATGAATGTATGAATGATTGAAAGGCTGCTCAGGGTAGGGTGTCCCTGGGAAACGTGCGCACTGCGTCACTGTGAAACAGAACTAGTCCAGATGAGGTGCTGCTCTTAAGAGCTGTGAGCACCTTGTAGGGTCTGGCAGGAAAACCAGCTCCACAGACAAGCCTCATCGTGGAGGGAAGAGGAAACAGCAGAGGGAATATCTGTGCACCTTCTGCCACGGTTCTGCTGAGGGTGGACCTTACTGTGGGTGGACCTGGAGTAGACCTATCCTCTCCCCCAGGTGAAAGCTGGCCCCCAAGATTGCTTGGTGATGGATGGAGGGGGCCCGCTCCTGGAGACATGGGGCCCTGCTCCACAGAAAGAAGACTAGTGGGGGGCTGTGGTCCTGCTCTCTGTGAATCTTAGCAGGTGACCTGAGTCTGAGTGACCCTCAGAGCTCATGCCAGGGCCACACGGGCCAGCACACAGTAGCCCCGGGCCTCATGCACAAGCAGTTGGAGGAATCACGGTTCCAACCTGGGGAGGGGGTGGCTTGGACAACTGCACCCTCTCCTCAGCACTTAGTCAGGTGAGCTCTGGGGAATGCCACCTGGTGATGCACTGTGTCCCTAGGTGTGTGCCGGAGTCACCCCGATGGCTGCTGTCACAGAAGAGAAACACTCAAGCAATAAAGATAATGAGCCACATCGCCCGGAAGAATGGGAAGTCGCCTCCTGCTGACCTACAGGTGGACCAGGAAGGGCTCCCACTGCCCGGGGGAGTGGCGGAGCTGTGCTGGAGGTCAGGGTGGGAGAGCCATCAGTGGCCGTGGCCCCCCGGGGACCACCCACTCACAGCTTGGGTGGGTGACGATCTTCTCCCTCCTAGATGCTCTCTGTGGAAGAGGAYGACACCGACAAGCAGAGCCCTTCCATTATAGACCTGTTCCGCACACCCAACCTGAGGAAGCACACCTGCATCCTGATGTACATATGGTGAGGCCCTGCCCCGCTGCCCGCAGGCCGGCCTGCGGCGCTGCCCCCACGCGGGGAGCAAAAGAAAGTCCCCAGCGTGGTTCAGGTGCAGGGAGAGCAGGGAGAGGCYGTCTCAGCACAGTGGTCAGCCGTCAGAGAGCTCCGAGGGGCCTTCTCTCCCGGGGGCTGGGTCATGGGGAAGGCCCGTTTGGACAGGAAGGACAGTTCCGGGGCCGTGGAGTGGCAGAGAGGAGCTGCAGCTGCCTCAACTCTACGAAGCCTCCTCTGTGGGGAGCAGCGGGTCTTGACATGGTGTCGGAAGGTGGCAGGATTGATGACGTCCATCAGGAAAGCTGAGCCCTTCCAAGGGGAGACCCCTGTCTTTTCTCACATCTAGAAACCGAAGGACCCTCTTGAGGGTCTCTCTGTGCCTTCATTAGCCATTGGTCAGAACTCCCGTGCCCTCCCGGCATACCCCTTGCCCACGCCAGGGTCTGCTCCTCTCTCTGTGGCTGGCATGGGAAGGGACCCCGCCTGTTGGATCGGCTCCTCCATCTGGGCGTCCCTCAGAACACAGTGATTCTGAAGTGGCTCTCTGACACAGGGTCCTCAGCGGCCAGACCCCGGGGGAAGTTCCTCGTCCTGGTAGCAGCTGCTGGCACTAACACACAAGGCTTTATTTGAAGAAGGAGTCGACTTCGTAGGGCAGTGCCTGGCGCATGGTAGACCCTCAGTAAATATTTGCTGGAAGTTGAATGAGTAACTGCTGTTCCACGGAATCCACCCAGGGTGTTAGATACTGGGCTCGCCCTGCCCTGCCCCTGCCTCGCACTCACCAGCCCTGTCCCTGARTTTGCCCTGGGGTCCTGCACCCAACCGCAGAGTGAGCCCTTGCAGAGCCCCATGTAGCTGGCGGGTTTCCGTGGTGCCCGATTCTGCAGCCCCTCTGTGGGCAGCCTGCAGACAGGAGTGATGGCTCACTCACCTGGACTCTCARCTTCCCCTCCACCCCGAGCACACACCTCTCAAGGTGGCATTTGACGCCTCTGTTTCGGCCACCCCCAATCCAGGCAAATCTGGATACTGGCTGCYGGCACACTCTGCAGACTTCCGGATCCACTGAGAATAGAGCCAGGTCTCTTTTTCCAACCCGCAAGTGAGGCTTTATGTGATCTGGCCCCTGACACCTCCCACCGTCCCTCCTAGGCCCCACCTGCTTCTCTTCATTCTGCAAACTGGGAACCTGCCCACCACTTCCTGGCTGTGTTTCCTTTAGAAAGAGCCTCAGTCCCTCTGTGACTAAGCATCCTCATCAGCAGTGGAAGCAATAACAGTATCTAGCTCATAGGGGAATTAAAGAGATGATCTGTGTAGAGCGCTTGGAACAGTGTGGGGTACAGATACAGCAAATGCTCAGTGAGCACAGGTTTTTTTGTTGTTGTTGTTGTTATTTTAATACGTACATGCAATTCATGGGTTCTGCCTGAMGGTGGCAGCCCTGCTCATTTATCACCTGGTGTGTGGACAGGCAAATTCAAGTTGTAGGTTCTTTTCTCTTGAGCCSGTCTCCTCATCAGCAGTGTGTGACAGTTTCCACTTCACTGGCCAAATGGAGCGGGGGTGGCTCTGGTTCCCTAAACTCACTAAGCTACAGGTGTGTGCATTCTTTTTGTTTGTTTGTTTTCCTTTTGACCCTTTTGTCCAATCARCAATGACAAGAAACAAGCCCCGCAAGTATCCTCTGGCTGAGGCTTTTATAAAACAAGGGGGCACATTAATTAGGAACATCAGTTGCCATCTCAGTTTTGGGGAGCACAGGCAATTTGCATGCTGGGACAAGACCAGGATTTCTTATTGACCAAAGTCTCSTTGAACAATGTAGACAAAGATATGATCTAAGATGCTCTAGTTTCCAAAATGATATCTCCCCAGTGACGCACAGCACCCTCCGACTGGACTGGAGAGCGGGCAGTTTAGGAAGGCCCCTCCATCTGTGTCTGTGTCCTGTGACCTACAGAGAGAGGGCCCTGCGGGGGCATGGGAGCACGGACAGTGCCCGTTAAAGATGGTGCTGTGAGGTTCAGGGAGCGTCCTGTGCAGGTGAGGCTCTGCCTGCCCCTCCGCTCTGTCGTGCCCAGGATCCTTGACCTTGTTACCAGGGTGATGACGATGGTCACAGCGAAAGCTCATAAGCATAAGGCATCCTCTCACATCATTAAAGGAATTTGTCTTCAAGGGCCCTTCTATAGCCCTCTTTTTGATTGCTCTAGAACATTCTATGCCAGTGACACACTCTTTCCAGTGGATGGAGGCTCCCTCCCTGAGCTGCTGGTCCCCTGCAGAGCTTGCCTTTGACTGGGCTCTCCTCTTGCCCAGGTTCTCCTGCGCTGTGGTCTACCAGGGCCTGATCATGCACATGGGGGCCACCAGCAAGAACATCTACCTAGACTTCTTCTTCTCCGCTCTGGTTGAACTCCCTGCGGCTTTCATCATCCTGGTCACCATTGACCGTGCTGGCCGCATCTACCCATTAGCCTTGTCCAGTCTGGTGGCCGGGGCAGCCTGCTTGGTCATGCTGTTTATCTCACAAGGTGAGTGGCCTGTGTTCGTTATCTTCCAGGGAACTGGGCTTTGATAAGCCCCTGGAACAAGAACAAAGGGTGTCACCTTCATTCACCATCTTTCTTTAACAATTTAAATGGGGGTCTGACTAATATATAATGAGCACTTTATAACTGTGTGGTTTGGTGAACCTGGACTGTGGGCACCCAGGCTGAGCGCCCTCCCCCAGCACCTCGGCTGTCCTTCCTGCTCCGTCACACCAGATCCGTGCAGCCCTGCCCGCCCGCCTGCCGCCCTGGCCTCTGTGGACACAGATCAGTCCTCCTGTTCCTGAGCGGCCCAGCCCTGTGGCAGGAAGCTGCCTTGCGGCTCCTCCATGCACACGGAGAGGAGAGAAATGTAGACCCACGAGGAGAGAGCTTCAGGCAGGGAGCAGCAGGAAAGGGGACGGGAGGAGAGGGCTCAGCCTGGAGCTCGGCTGGACTGGCATTGGGTGGCAAGCATCAGACGAGGTCCCCGTGAGCCAGGAGACAGCAGCCGTGGACGGTACCCCCAGCACAGCAGGAGAGCACTGGTGGCTTTGGGTGGGAGTCGCGCAGTCTGACCTCTGACTGCTGTAAYGTGGCCCAGCCAGCAGGGCAGAGTGGACACACTGTTCTCTGAGGGCAGCGATGCTGTGTATGGCCCCGACCCCCGGGACCAGCTCCTTCCTCTCTTGTTTTGTAGAAGCTGGGTCGGGAGGGGTCTTTCCCAAGGCTCAGCCTGGCTTCCCCAGGGGGCAGAGAGCAGCAGAGGCCGAGAGTGCCCCTGAGCTGTGTGTGCGGTGAGCAGCCTCCGCGCTCCTTGGGARGCTCACGCCAACTGAGTGAAACCCACCGAGCCTTCCCTACGTCACCAGCGTCTGGGGCCAGGGGCCAGGGTGGTKCAATATCTGTGACCTCAGGGGACTTGTAGTGAGCCAGTATTGCTCAGGGCCACTTGTACTCTGGTGTGGGGGCAATGTCGGTGACAATGTCAGTGGTGATGAGGGATCTGTGTTCCTTCCTGGGACGCCCGTTACTGTGGTCACCCCCAGTGGGAATGGGGACTCCAGCAGCTGTCCGGGCTCACTCCCTAATCACCCTCCCTGTGACTGGCAGGAAGTGTTTAGGTTGGAAGCAACACTAGATAGAGGACTCCATCAGGGCTGAGCCTGGCGGGAGCTAGCTCACCCGCTGGGGTGTTCCAGGATGGCTGGCAGCAGCGCTGTTCTAGGATCGACAGACCTCAGCCTTTAAATTCCGCAGTCACAGGGGGAATTTGACACGTTACCTGTGAGACTCGTAACCACCCGCGAGCTGTGCGGCTAGCATCCACCCCAAGGACGCCAACAGCTTGTCCAGGTCGGCCTGCTGACGGGAGGCCAGCGGAGCCCCCAGACTCCTTCCTGTCTCTGGGGACGAGTGGAGTCTTCCCAGAGGTGTCACCGCCAGGTCCTGAAGTCTCCGGGCTCAGCGCCCTTGTGTGAMAACGAAAGGGTCCGAGAGGATGCCCTCCTAGTCCGGCCCAGCCCTCCAGGCCTTCCCTCTGTGGCGAGAGAGTRCCACCCTGGTGTCCCTCTGTCTCCGCAGACCAGCACTGGCTGAATATCGCGGTGGCTTGCCTGGGCCGAATGGGGGTCACCATTGTGCTGCAGATGATCTGTCTGGTCAACATGGAGCTGTACCCCACCTTCGTCAGGTGAGTGCGTAAGGTGGGGGACATCATCACACCCCTGCCAGCCAGGCTCGCGAGGACCAGCGTTTGCAGGATGTCTCCCCGAGCGCCCCCAAGGGTCGGTCAGGTTGAACATTGGGTATTGCTAAGAATGGGTGCTCAGAGAGGTAGGGTTGGGCGTCAAAGAGAAGGTTCCGGGTTATGGGAGAGAACGTGAAATGTGGGCACTGGAGTCAACTAAGGGCAGGGGGCACGCCAGGCCCTGTAAACAGGCGGCACAAGAACAAGGCTTCTGGGTTGGAGGAGGGAGCGCTGGGCAAGCCGCGGGGCTGCTGAGCTGAAGTACCCGTTAGCACTAGGCGGTGGTGTGGGWGTCAGCTGCTCTGTTACACGCTGGACTAATAGTGACAAGCCTTTCCACACCTACGGCCCAGGCTACCTTTACAGTTGTTATTGAACATCCTCCTCCTCAGTTTTACACAAGAAGCTGAGGCTTGAACAGGGAGAGGGACTTCCAGGGTCACACAGCTAGAGAGTGCAGGGCCACGCCTTCCCGACCTGGACCCGTGTGCTTCCTCCACTCAGACATGTTACTGCTCTCTAAACCGGGGAACGTGCAAGAAATGTAGTGAAATATGAAATTGACCATGGTAAACCTTTTAAAGTGTTCAGGCGGGTGCCGTCGGGGGCACTCACCTTGTGTGGTCAATCTCCAGRGCTCTTTCCACCTTGCAAAACGGTGACTCTGTACCATTAAGCAGCACCCCATTCCTCCCTCCCAGCCCCTGGCAACCACCRTTCTTCTTTCTGTCYCTACGATTTGGACTAAGAACTTCATCTAAGTGGAATCGTACAATATTTTTGTGACTGGCTTATTTTACTTGGCATAATGCCTTTGAGACTCACCCATGTTGTAGCACATGCTCATCTCTCCTTTTTAAGGCTGAGCAATATTCCATTGTGTGCAGAACATATTTGTTCATCCATTCATCTGACCTTGGAAGCTTGGGTTGCTCTCACATTTTGGTGTGAACATCAGTGCACAGATATCTCTTGGAGACTCTACTCTCAATTCTTTTTTTTTTTAAAGGAGAGAGAGAGAGAGAGAGAGAGAGAGAGAGAGAGAGAATCTTTTTTTGTAGATGGACACAACACAATGCCTTTATTTTTATGTGGTGCCGAGAATCGACCCAGGTCTACCCTGAGCCACAGTCCCAGCCCTCTACTTTCAGTTCTTTCGGATCCTATTAGATGGGAAATCACTGGTCTTATGGTATAGCTAGGATGTCCCCCAGACACCCCTGTGTTCACGAAGGTCTGAAATATCAGATTACCGGAGCTGTCACCTGAGTGGTGGGTTAGTCCAGTTGGTGAATGGTTAATAACTTGAAGGGGTGACGGTACGGGGTGACTGTGGGCAGTGGGCCTGGTGGAGGAAGGAGTCACGTAGCCGTGCCTTGGAGGGGGTGAGTTTTGTCCCGGCTCTCCCTCTCGGCCTCCTGGCTGCCTGCCCGARCTCAGCAGCTTTCCTCCGCCACGCCCTTCTTCCAGGGGATGCTACCTCCTGGGGCCCAGAGCCATGGAGTCAGCCAGCCACGGACTGGAGCTCTGAAACTGTGGGCCCAGTAAACTTTCCCTCCTCTCAGTTGACCTTGCCAGGCCTTTTGACGAAAGCTGGATGTGGGTCCATGGTAATCTATTTCTTAGTTTTCGGGTGACCTCCGTCCTGTCTCCACGACAACTCGCCCGTTTTACRTCCCCCGTGGGGGCCCAGGGCTTCAGTTTCTCCTGTCCCTCCAATGCCTGTTTCCCTTTTCTTTATAGCGGCCGCCCCGATGGGCTGAGYGGGTGACTCACCAGGGTTCCACTTCTTCAGTGATCAGTGTGTGGGACATCTCTTCACCCACTTGTGGCCCGTTTGTGTGTCTTCTCTGGAGAAAAGTCTGATGCAGTGATTTTCCCCTTATCAGACTGGGCCCCGGGGCCATCTTGCTGTCGTTGTTGATTGTGGCTCTTTATATATTCTGGATCTTGGGGCCTTATCCGATGTATGATTTCCAAACATTTTCTTTCATTCTCTAGGTTGCCTTTTTATTCAGTTAATTGTGTCCTTTGATGAACAGAAGTTCTGGATCAGATAAGCTCCAGTTTCTCTCTTTTTAGTTTGTTGCCTCTGCTTTTGGTGCTGAAGATTTTTTTTTTTTTTAAGTCGGGCATACACAGACTCAAATTCCTGCTTTCTGAAAGCAAGTTTTGATGGCATAGATCATTAATCTTTTAAACACTGCCATGAAATACAGACGATTTCCAGCACCCCCCGGGTTTCTTCACAGCCCTCTGCAGTAAGTTCCCTTCTCGCTCCACCTCCAGCTCCTGGCAGCTGCTAATCTGACTTCTGTCCCTTTAGCGTCACCTTTTCCAGACTGTTCTGCCTTGTGGCTCTTTGATTGCCGTGTAGCTGACCAGTGCCTGGACCTGCTCTCTTCATTCCCCTGGTCATGGTTGGACTTGGACTCCTTCCTGTTTGGGGTGATCATGGTACACCTGCTCTGAATATCGGTGCACAGGTGTTGGGATGGACACATTTTCACTTCTGTGGGGTAAAACTTAGGAGTGTGACGCTGGGTCGTGCACTCGGTGGGGGTGCCCCACTCRTACTCCCGCGGGCCGCGTGTGAGAGGTCCAGTCGCTCTGCGTCCTCAGGGGTGGGAGTCGGTGTTAAGCCACTCTGGGAGGTGGGGTGTTATTGTGGCCCTCCTTTTTCCTACTCCCTAGTAACGCCAAGCACCTTTGCATGGAATTATTGCCATCTGTATCTCACAGGACTTGGTTTTAAATGAAGATCATTTTAATTGTAAAAGTAGCCATTTTATTTGATGTTTTAAAAACTGCCATTATCTTAACCTGACTTGTGTGAGAATTCAGTTTATTACCTTAATTTTTTTTCCTTTGCATAAATTACTCCTTTCTCGTTGTGAACATATCAGTGGCTTCTAAGAAAATTCCAGATCCCAACCTCATCTTACACCTTCACAGTCCTCTGAGTCCTTGAGTGATGACTCTGAGTTAGTCATTCTGTTTTCTGCCTRTTCCTGTATCAAAAGGCCATGTCTCAAACTCTCATTTGTATAGTGTTGCTTGGACTGAGGACAGAGATGAAGACAACTAAACAGAAAACCTACACTGGCAGTTCTGAGTACAGAGTCTAAAAACTTTGGGACAAATAATTCCATTGTTATGACCACCAGTCCCAGGGGATTGAGTCAGAATATAATCTGTCAAAAATGCTGTATTAGTCAGCTTTGTGTTACTGTAATAAAATACCTGAGATAATCAACTTAAWAAGAGAAAAGGTTTATTTGGCTCACAGTTTTAGAGGTTTCAGATACAAGCCTGATCAAAAAGAAAATCTCTCTTATCCCAGAGTGTGCCAAAAGAATATTGTCACAAAGCAGAAGAAAATTGTAAACAGATATGCTACCAAAAAATGCAAAATATTAATGAGTCAGTCATCTCTATAAAGTAAGAGCTTAGAGCAAATGTGTACGTTCCTGGGAGATTAGATGGCAAGATAATAGAAGACACTGAAGCCACTCAGAGAGGAAAAAAATGAAAAAATTAAAGCATTTAATAAATGAAAGGCAGCTTGAGAGCAGTATAAAGAATAGATACAGGAGGACAAGATGCACACAGTTACAACATAAAGTGAAAACATGCAGAATTTAGAAGGCCTAGCACTTATATAAGTTAATGTTTTTTATATTAGCACGTTAATATGTGTACACACACACACACACACACACACACACACACACACACCCCTAACCAATGCACTCCACTCCCAGGCACCAGGGCTGACATGAGCCTAAATCCTTTAGACCTGGTCACCCCTAGACGTGTCCTCACCTCCCAGTGACAACAGGTCTTGGTCCTGGACAGGAGGGTGTGGAACTGAGGGTCGGAGCAGGAGCACATGGGCTGGTGACCTTCATCAGGCTTCGATCGATTCTTCATGGTGACGCGCCTGAGAGCTGGTGTCTGGTGTGGAACTGAGAAGAGGCSGGCGGGCAGGGCGTGGCCCTCCCCTTTCCACCCTGGGTGACACCCCCTCTCAGTCTGACGGGTGGTCCACAGGCTCCTCCTGGTCCTCGCAGTCGGCCCGAGGTGTGCTGCGCGCTGTCCGGGCGGCCCCAGGARTTGGCACTGCCCTGGGCTCTAGGATAAGAAAGACGGCATCTTGGAAACCAAATCCCAGCATGTGACCTCTGGATCCTTGTTTCCTCAGGAACCTGGGGGTGATGTTGTGCTCCGCCCTGTGTGACGTGGGTGGGATCTTCACCCCCTTCATGGTCTTCAGGCTGATGGAGATCTGGCAAGCCCTGCCCCTTGTTCTGTTTGGTAAGACCTCAGGAGCCTGCGCCCCTCCTTCGCAGCCTGCGGGGTACAGTGTGGTCCTCGATGCTCCCCGACCCTGTGAGGGTGCAGCACCCYCTTCAGCTGTCTCTGGGGAAAGAGAAGATACAATTTCTAGGAAATGGCCAGAGATTGATATCCAATGGCTCCCAAATCCAGTCATTCATTCCAGGGCAAGATTCCACGGGCCCTTGAACAGCCTCCTGCTTCCCGTGCATTCAGTGGCTAACTGCATGCATTTACTGTGAGCGCGGGAGGCTGAAGGTGCTGAACTCACCCCTTCTGCTTCTGGAGCTTAGAAATGGAAACAGGACGTGAGACAAGTGGGAATCAAAGTGCTTTATGGGCTTTACTGCTGATAAAGTTGGAKAGTGAAAGAGGAGGGAGCTACTCCTTCTTCCCCCAGCCTTGAGCTCGGGCCCTCCAAGACCTGCATACGGGTTGGTAGACAGCAAAATGGCTATTCTTGGGCAGAGACCTGCCATGCACAGGTGACAGCAAGGGGGAGAGGAGGGGTGGGAGGAGGAGGGGCGGGGAGCACGAAGGGAGAGGAAGGGGGAGAGAAGGACAGAGGAACGGGGAGAGAGGAGGGGAGGGAGGAACATACGTGTGTTATGCTCTATACCCATACCTATCTATCTACAGATCTATAGATCTATCTATCTATCTATCTATCTATCTATCATCTATCTATCTACAGATCTATATATCTATCTATACATCTATCTATCTATGGATCTATCTATCATCTATCTATAGATCTATCTATCTACCTATCTATAGATCTATCTATCTAC